CCATTCCCAGCCCTGAGCTGTTTAGAACAATGGATGCTATACCAAATACTTCCTATATTAAGAAATTCAATCACTGATACCAAAAAGGTGAATTTTGAATGTGAGAATCTCTGTTGATTATTGACTAATACTTATGAGGTCAAAGTACTAAGTCCAATTTCCTTGGACACAGGTTAACTTACTTGATACAAGGCTATCAATACAAATGAAGAATTACCATTAAACTATTATCCATAATAAAAGAAGAAATAAACTTCAAAATGAATACTCAAAGCAAGGCAGTTGTCTATATACGTTGTAGTCAAGTTTCTCCATAAGTACAATGAAATTAAGCAGAAAATATAGAGATAACTCCTGAATAAAACTCGTCCTTAAAAATGGGTATATAATAGGACTCAAAAAGGATATGGATATGACAAAGATAACTCTATAAAAAGGTAGTTCCATATACTAAGTGCTGAAACATGTTTGTGGAAATAAAAAAAAAAGGCTTTTGAATATTTATGTGACTTTGTGCATAATCTTGAATACAATTCCCTCAACTAGTACATTTTCATGAAATCGTTAAATTTCACTAAGATATTTGAAACCAGAAGGGAAATTTTACTGGTGTTATTTATTTGAAAGTACAAAATGCATTTATTTATTCAGCTGGTATTTTAGAAGAGATGCAATGACTAGTGTGGTTTCTGAAGATATAATACATATTTATTCAACTCAGGTTTTGGAGAAATAATATGAAAAAGTACTAATGGGACTGTTTCTAGTACTTATTGGCATAGAATAAGTAAGCATAATATGCATGCTTTTAGGCAACAGGATAACAGGTTTCTGAAACTAAATGGTCAGGGAGAACTGTCGGTATTCTTTTTTATTATTTTGCATTCTTTCAGCTGGATAAATTGTCTCCTACTTCCTATTGATTGTGTTTTAATAGGCTTACCCTTTTTGGTGGTAGCTTTTAGTTTACATTTTTGGATGCTATTACCATGGGAAAGAACAATGACCTTAAAATACAGTTTGTGGGTACTTGACAATATATATACCTAAGGATCTTTGTGTTTGTTTTTTTTTTTTTTTTAGTAATCTTATTGAGTTATAATTATACAGCATAAAATTATACATGCTAAGTGTATAATTCAAAGAGTTTTAATAAATTTACCACCATGACCTAATTTTCATCCTAGTAAGATTTTGGATCCTTTTTAAAGTTATTAGCAATACCCTTTCCCAGCCCAGGCAACCACTAATATACTTCCTATGTCACAGATTTGTCTTTTATGGAGATTTCATATAGATGGACTCATATGACATATGATATTTTGTGTCTGGCTTCTTTCACTAAGCATAATGTTTTTGAGGTTCATTCATTTTGCATCATATATTAGTAGCTTATTCTTTTACATTGCATGTAAAGTGAAAGAGTTAGTCTCTCATTCCACTCTCTGTGGCTCCAAGGACTGGAGCCCGTCAGGCTTCTCTGACCATGGAATTTTCCAGGGAAGAATACTGGAGTGGGTAGCCATTCACTTCTTCGGTGGATCTTCCCAACTCAGGGATTGAATCTGGGTCTCCTGCATTGTAGGTGTATCCTTCACCATCTGAAACATTAGGGAAGCCCCTTTCATAGTATGGGTATGGCGTATTTTGTTGACTCATTCACCTGTCCAAGTATCTCTCCTTTTAGCATTTTACTTACAGTTACTTAGAGAACAAATTTGTTGTTTCCATTTAAAAATGCTTCATGCCTTTATAGCAGTCTTAATGTCTCCCTACTATTAGAGAGGAATATAAAACATACATCTGGATCACATTTTAACTCTAAGTTGGCCAGGTCCTGATGATTTTGCATTTTATAAGCTAATTAGCTAAACTATTTACTAATTAACCAAATATAATTTAATTTTAAACTGAAATGTTATTGAAGTAAAAAATTTTACATGACACAGATAATTTTCCTCAACTCTGTCATGTAAGCAAAACCAACACTATAAGCCACAGAGAAGAGATTTGGGAAAAGAATTACAAATGGAAAAAAATCCATTAATAAAAAGAGCATGCTTAAAGATATTCCATTTTTCTAGCAGAGGTCAGAAGGAGCTGTTTTGTTCAGCAAAGCTTTAATGCTTCATGAACACACAGAAAAGCTAATCCCAGACTGGTTAAAAATGCCAAGTTCATGAAATGGCAAAAAGAAATGTTATACTACTTATGGATTTTCGGAGAGCAAAAAGAAAAAAAAAGCAACCATAAAATATTATGAAATATGTTGCTTGGTATGCTAACAGGCTTTGGAAGAAGTTTCATTCTGTTCATAATCAAAATGCTGATATTGGCTGACATATACTTGGAATGTGTAAACAGAGAAGAGAGAAGCAAAAGAAGGTGTGGAAGATTAAGCAGAGTATTGTATAATTTATGAACCCCTGGAAAATGATAGAGTATAACAGAAAACAACAGAGACTCATTATCTGTGCACTACACAGAAAAGAGAAACTACTCGAGGAATACTCAAATATATTTTCCTTGTGAACCCAAATATACTTAATTTGCAATTAGTATTTTTTGATAATAATATTTTAAAATATCAAAATATTTTCTACACATTCTACTCTTTTCATATTTTTTTTAAGGAAAAGGTATTCTGGTAATAGGAAGTAAATATCAAAACCTCACTTCTTTCTCCATATGTTTTTCAATGAAGTATCATGTGAAAGGTTTTATTTTTCTTTGGACCAAGTCTAAGTTCTCAGCATTTGTAAGCAGTAAAACCTCTGCTTCATTAAACAAAGTTCTTGGAATATAAAATATCTCTATACCATAGGTCAAGGGCAGCACTTTTGTCATAACATTCTCTATCGAATTGCTAGAGAGAAAGAAACAGTGTCTCATGAAAGTAAAATAATAGCATCATTTCATGGATATTTGGAAATATTTTATTTTTCTTAGCAGTTACTTTGCTTTGGGAGCTTTGACACTTTATTTCCAAACATATATATGAACCATTCTCTTGTGTTTAGGGGAAAATGTATAATTATATTATCTAAAAAGCATCTCCTTAATTTTGGATCTAGATTTATTCCAGAATTTTTTTTAACATGCTGAATGTTAAAAAACATTAGGTGTTGCTAGATTTTACTGAGCCACACTAGAGTTGCACAGTATGAAACATCTTAGGATAGCTTTCAAAATGGTCCAGCAGGACCTAGGAAATGAGCACCTGCCAGTGACAATGTGTTTATTATTTCTAGATGCTGCACATCAGTCAAATTATTTGGAATTTGTTAATTCACCTACTCATTCCACAAATATGCATTGAACATTTGCTATGTGTCAGGTATTATTATACACAAAATTGAGATGGAATAAGAAACAAAGAGAAAAAGAAATCCCTGCCTCATGGAGATTATACTCCAGGGGGGTGTGCAACAAACATATTTTAGGTAGGTAAAATATATAAAATGTTAAAGCATGACTAATGATAACAAAGAAAAACAAATTAGGAAAAAGGAATATAAAATGTTAGGGTAAGGTAAAACATTATATAGAGAGGCCTAGAGAGGCCTTTGTAAGAAAGTGAGGGAGTCAACCCCAGGAATATCTACAGGGAAAACATTAAATCAAAGGAACAATCCATAGATTCTGCAGTAGCAATCTGTCTAGTAAGTTCAAACTATATCCAACATCCAACCATAGTTCACCAACCACTTTTATCCCACCCTTGTTCAGTCACTAACTTCACTGCACTGGATTACTGCAAAGTCGCTTACCTACTCAAGGTGGAGGCCACATTGGCTACAAACAGCAAGAGACTAAGTAGGATAGGAGTTGGAACCTAGAAAAAGCTGCTTAATGGGATTAAAATGAGCATATGGGGATGAACAGGAGCTCAGTTTCAGATAAAGCTCAGATAACTTTTGGAAGTATGTATCAGAGGTCCAGGTAAAATTGCAAGCCCATGGTTGGACTTAAGTGTAAGGAGTTGGTTCACAAGTTTGGGTAGAAAAAAGATGTGGGAAATTATCTGTTTACAGGTGGTATTTAAGCCATGAGAGTAGGTGGATTATTTTGATAGCAGATAGAGACAGCAAAAAAAAAAAAAAAAAAATCTAAAAGTAGAGGTCAAGGGATGAGAAGATACTCATAAGGAAAATGACAAAGATCAATGAGAAATGCTAAGAGCAAAACCAGGCAACTGTGGTAAGCCATGAGAGTAGGTGGATTATTTTGATAGCAGATAGAGAGACAGCAAAAAAAAAAAAAAAAAAAGAAAAGGAGGTCCAGGGATTGAGTCCTAGACTAAAAGTAGAGGTCAAGGGATGAGAAGATACTCATAAGGAAAATGACAAAGATCAATGAGAAATGCTAAGAGCAAAACCAGGCAACTGTGGTAAATGAGAATCCGTAAGGAGAGAGTCTTGCAGGTTTGGCCTCTAGTTCTGACATCCCCATCATCCTTCCCCAGCAGGGTTGAGCCCAGGGAGCAAACCTATCTGGCCAACACTGTGAGTACAATTCTTGAACTGTTATCATTTGCCCACGTTCTATCAATCCTGTGCTTTTGGGTTGACTGCTTCAGTGTTTCTCAAATATGCTCCCTTTTCTTTTCCTGTCATTATCTTACCTGGGGCCCATATCATCTAGGTCCAAGAAAATGAAAGAAGCTCCTGTGTTTATCACTGTTTCCACCCCTCCAGTCATTCATCCCTTAAATCCACACTCCATATGATCTTTTTAAAAATGTAAATCTAATAAATGAGAAGTCATTTAATCATGCTCGTTGCCTTCAAGATCAGGTTTAAACTCAAGACCCTTCTTTGTAACCCCATGGATTATACAGTCCATAGAATTCTCCAGGCCAGAATGAGTGGGTTGCCTTTCCCTTCTCCAGGAGATCTTCTCAACCCAGGGATCAAACCCAGATCACCCACATTGCAGTCAGATTCTTTACCAGCTGAGTCACCAGGGAAACTCAAGAATACTGGAGTGGGTCTATAATCTACCTTATTCTACAGCCTGCCATCTCTCTTTACTGACCTCATGCATTCCAGCCATTTAATCCAGGTACTGATTACTTCAAACCATCAGCTCTATCCTTTAGACACTACACAAAGCTGTTCCTATAACATAGAAATGCCCCCTGCTCAGCATTACCCAGGTTATTCTTACTCGTATTTTAGATCTCAGGTTATATTATTTTCCCCCACCCTCTGCCCCCGGAATCCATCACTAGCGTTCCTTATCAGACTGTCTTCTTATTTTACAACAACAACTCTGATTTTTTCTATCACTTTTGGAGGTGGGAGTGGGTGGTTCAGTGGTAAAGAATCTGCCTGCCTATGTGGGAAACAAAGGAGACGTGGGTTGGATCCCTGGATCAGGAAGATCACCTGGAGACAACAATGGGAGCCTACTCCAGTATTCTCGCCTGGAGAATTCCATGGACAGAGGAATTTGGTTGTTATCTGGGCTCCTTATTTTGTAATGAAACTCTGATTTTTTCCTATAATTTTTACTGTGGTATAATCAACATATAAAATTGCAAGATATATATGATACACATCATAGTGATGTGATATATGTATTTATATCATGAAAGGAATCTCCTATTTGTTAATGAACACATATTTACATCACAGCATTCGTGTCTACTGTTTCAGCAAATTTCAGTTTTACAATAATGTTATCGATATAGTCATCATACTTTACTTTAGATCCTCAGATCACTTGTCTTGTAGCTAGAAGTTTGTGCCTTTTAACAACCTCTTCCTGTTTCCCCCGTGCTCAGTCCCTGGCAACCATTTTTCTAGACTGTTTCTGTTTTTATCAGTTTGGCCCTTTTTTTTTTTTTTAAATTACACATATAAGTGATACCATGGAGCATTTGTCTTCCTCTGTCTGTTTGATTTCACATTAGCATAATGACTTTAAGTTACATCCATGTTGCAAATGGTAGGATGTCTTTCTTTCTCATGGCTGAATTAATTTTATGCATATATTTATGTATGCCACATTTTATTTATCTACTTATCTGTTGATGCAGGGTTCAATTGTTTCCATATCTTGTCTATAGTGACAAATGCTGCAATTAATGTACGAGTGCAGATATCTGTTTAATATCCTGTCTTCATTGACTTTGAATGTATACCCATTAGTGAGATTATTGGATCATATAATTCTATTTTTAATATTTTCAGGAACCTCCATAGCATTTTCTGTAGTGGCTGCATCAATTTGCATTTCCTCAACCGTGCACAAGTGTTCCTTTTTCTTCACATCTTCACCAACACTAATTATCTCTTATCTTCTTGATGATAGTTATTTTAACAGATGTGAGGCGATACCTCATTGCATTTTTGATTTCTATTTCCTTGATGATTAGTGATGCTGAGCACCTTTTATGTACGCTTGCCCATCTGTATGTATTCTTTGCTGCTGCTGCTTAGTCACTTCATTCACATCCAACTCTTTGCAACCCTATGGACTATAGCCTGCCAGGCCCCTCTGTCCTTGGGATTCTCCAGTAGGAGTACTGGACTGGGTTGCCATATCCTCCTCCAGTGGATCTTCCCAACTCAGGGATCAAACCCAGGTCTCCTGCTTTGCAGGCAGATTCTTTACCACTGAGCCACCAGGGAAGCCTGTATGTGTTCTTTGGAAAATGTCCTTTCACTTCCCTTGTCCATTGTATAATTAGATTATTATTATTATTTACCTATTGAGTTGTATGATTTCTTCATATTACTGTTTATTAATTGATTCATACCCCCCTTATGCTAACCATTAACAGTGTCTCACTTATTCACTTTGTTTGCTCTGAATTTCAGAATAATTTTTGAAACACTGCAGGTATTTAGAAATTAATTTCTAAATAAATGAAGATGAAATTCTATGCATCCTTGCCTGTACCTGAATAACACAGAATTTTTATTCTCTTGCAATGTCTTCTTCCCTTTGTCCCTACATGGGTACTTCTGGGAGTTCTAAGGTGATATTTCTCATGTATACATTAAAAAGTCTATTTCCACAATGCACTTGCACTATTTTGTCAGACGCCAAATGGACACCGTCTCAACATAGCACCTTCCCACCCCAAAGCATCTGTAGTCTCATACTGGCATTTTATCTCCACCAGGACTCTAATGTCATCCCTGATTCCTCCATAATCAGGAAATAGCAGATGTTTTCTTTGATTATTGTTGTTTAGTCACTTCAGTTGTGTCCAACTCTTCATGACTCCAAAGACTATAGCCCACTAGACCCCTCTGCCCATGGGATTTCTCAAGCAAGAATACTAGAGTGGGTTGCCATTTCCTTCTCCAGGGGATCTTCCCAACCCAGGGATCAAACCTGTGTCTCCCCATTGGCAGAGGTGTTCTGTCCTGCTGAGCCATCAGGGAAGTCCTCCTTGGTTCTAGAAAGATTTATATGCATAGCTGAAGCGAGTTTTATGCTAATTCCTTCTCACTCTTGTCACAGGTTATCATAACAAGATATAAGTGAAGTTAACCCTGTCCTGTGTTTCTTGAACACCAATGTCCAAAGAGTTTTTTTCTGTTTTACTGAAAGCCTCTCTTTTAATGGAGGTCAAAAATTTTCCTTACTGCCCAAGCTGCAGAACAAACTTCACACCACACTATCTTCCTTCCCTTTCTCATCTAAGATTCTAGGTACCTGGAAGTAAACATTTAACCCCATAACCTCCCCATGCTACCATCCTAATGCCTGCTGCTGCTGCTGCTAAGTCGCTTCAGTCGTGTCCGACTCTGTGCGACCCCATAGACGGCAGCCCACCAGGCTCCCCCATCCCTGGGATTCTCCAGGCAAGAACACTGGAGTGGGTTGCCATTTCCTTCTCCAATGCATGAAAGTAAAAAATGAAAGTGAAGTCGCTCAGTCGTGTCCGACTTTTAGCGACCCCGTGGACTGCAGCCTACCAGGCTCCTCCGTCCATGGGATTTTCCAGGCAAGAGTGCTGGTGTGGGGTGCCATTGCCTTCACCAATCCTAATGCCTACTACATATCAAATCATATACATTTAGGTCTTGGAGACGCCTGATTACTCTAAAACTAAGATCAGGCTTAATCAGAAAGTGGTTTCTACTACCCCTCCACCATCAATCCTCAGGAAAGATTATTAGATTAAATGGGACATTATGGATACACTGTTTAGCTCAGTTTGAACATAGAATAATCATTAATAATTGCCAACTTTTTATTTTGAAAACATATTTTAGATGCAAAGTGTTGAAATATTAATATGAATCATACTATTATTCAATATTGATCATACCAATATAGATCACAATACTATTATTCTTGTATGGAATAGTATTCCAACATTATTATTGGAATCAAGATTTCTGGGAGAAATATCAACAACTTCAGATATGCAAATGATGCCACTCTAATGACAGAAAGTGAAGAGGAACTGAAGAACCTCTTGGTGAGGGTGAAAGAGGAAAGTAAAAAACCTGATTTAAAACTCAGCATAAAGAAAACCAAGATCATGACTTCTGATCCCATCACCCAAGGCTAATACAAGGGGAAAAAGTGGAAGCAGTGACAGATTTTATTTTCTTGGGCTTCAAAATCACTGTGGACGGTGACTGAAGCCATGAAATTAAAAGACACTTGCTTCTTTGTAGACAGTGTGTTAAAATGTAGACAGTGTATTAAAAAGAGATATCACTTTGCTGATAAAGGTCCATATAGTCCACGCTATGGCTTTTCCAGTAGCGTATGGATGTGAGTTAAGACCAGAAGGAAGGCTGAGCACCGAAGAACTGATCCTTTTAAATTGTGGTGCTGAAGAAGACTCTTAGATCCTTGGACAGTAAGGAGATGTAACCAGTCAATCCTAAAGAAGATCATCCCTGAATATTCATTGGAAGGACTGATGCTGAAGCTGAAGCTCCAATACTTTGGCCACCTGATGCAAAGAGCCAGCTTATTGGAAAAGACCGTGATGCTGGGAAAGCTTGAAGGCCAAGGAGAAAGAGGCTACAGAGGATGAGATAGTTAAACACCATCAACAATTCAAAGGGCATGAATTTAAGCAAACTCCAAGAGATAGTGAAGGACAGGGGAGTCTAGCGTGCTTTAGCTCATGGGATTGCCAAGAGCAGAACATGATGTAGTGACTGAACAACAACCACTATTATTGAAGAAGGTTTCTACCAGTCCTCAACTCCACCCAGACCAAGTTCTTGGAAATGTTTCTCACAATGAGTCATAGCTAAAACTAGCTTGTCATCATTCTATTTTGTCCATAGGACCTGGTTTGCCCTGGGAACCATACAGTGGTTTCTGTATGCTTACTTTACCTCTTTATAAAAAATAGATGCAAAGTTTTATTAATAGATCTATTAAAACACATTTCCTCAGCTTTTTCTTTTTTCTTTTTATTGCTTCTTACACATTGAATCACATGAAATTACAGATTTTTACCACTTCACATTGGCCTGTCCTCTTCTAATGGCAAGGAATTAATAGATGCATAACAGCATAATTAGTGTTAAGGGTTTCCTTATCATATTCACCATAAAACATGGCTGAAAAAATGTTTGGCCTGTGTTGCTCTCCTTTTATTAAATAATGTCCACCTAACTTTGAAAAATGAAATTCTTGAATTTCCATTAACACAAATCTTGATTTTCTTGAAGACCTTTAGCTCACTGTAATCTATTCTCTAAATTATTTTCCCATCTGAATTACTATTTTGTTATAGGTTACATACTAATGTCCTCTCCCTACCAGTGAATCAACTTCTTGCCTTTAAACTTTATTGAAAATCATTCAAAAGAAGTGACTCTTTTACTTATTTTATGTATGCTCCAAAATGAGCTCTAGCAGCATGCTAAGCACAGATTGTGTAGCTAACATCTTTGTACTGATGGATAAATATAAAAAGAAAATTCTAATGATCAATATGCAATTAGGCATTTTCATCTTTATTAAATAAAGTGCTATGTTATTAAAAAGCAACAGAAGTTCTTTAATACATGGTTGATTTCTCAGCCTTACATGCAATTTCTTTTCTTAAAATATTTAGCATGGTATGCTAGTCAGGAAAAAAATAATTTCCAAATCTTTCCATGAGTAAATGTAATTTTCAGAGAGCTGGCTTTGGTTATTATCATCATATTTCTTACTAGATCCAATTTCTGATCACCTTTAAATACATTTTATTTCAGTTGCCACACTGAAAAATTCTTAATTAATCTGATTTTCTTTAGTGGAAATTTTGATTATAATAAGTTTCATAATAAACCTTCAGAGAATATATAAACCCAGGACTAATGAATAAGTTGTGACCTAGTACTAGCTTTAAGAGGCTATTTTGTCTTATTCTAAATCTCTAAGGCTATTTTTACACTGGAAGTAGAGGTGAAATGAAAGGAACTTCCTGATTTGCTCTAAAATATTTCTGGAGTTGGCAGAATGGCCCTCCAGTGAGGAGCCACCAGGGCCTGCCAATCTTATAGTGGGTCTCAAGAGTCTACTGAAGTGCTGGCTTAAAGCTTTGAGCATAATATTTATTACTGCAGAGTGTCTTCTAACTGCACTTCAACTCTAATACTATATAATGCTAAGTCTCCACTGTAGGCCAGCTTACTGATATCATAGCTTAAGTATTTGCATATTCCCATTTGATTGGCTATAATAAAACACTGAAAGTACTAGTCAATTTCCAAATAAACCTTAGGCTTCTCCCCAAACCTGGGCAATAACTAGAAGCCATTCATTGCTTCTTCATTTCTTAGACATTCTTTATTCTGTGTATTTATAATGGTAAACTGTTTTTGGTTGTTGTTGTTTCAGGGTGACAAAGAATTACTTATTTCTCCAGAAACCTTGGCATTTTGAGACTTACGGTAAGCAGGTTCTTATAAACAAAAAGATTTTCTGAATACAGAAGACAGACATGATGTAGGTGTATGGTAACCCATCTCTCTATTCCAGTTCAGTTCAATTGCTCGGTCGTGTCCGACTCTTTGTGACCCCATGGAATACAGCACGCCAGGCTCCCTGTCCATTGCCAACTCCTAAAGTTTACTCTAACTCATGTACATTGAGTTGGTGATGCTATCCAACCACCTCATTCTCTGTCGTCCCCTTCTCCTCCCACCTTCAATCTTTCCCAGCATCAAAGTCTTTTCAAATGAGTCAGTTCTTTGCATCAGGTGGCCAAACTACTGGAATTTCAGTGTCAGCATCAGCCTTTCCAATAAATATTCAGAACTGATTTCCTTTAGGATGGATTGGTTGGATCTCCTTGTAGTTCAAGGGACTCTCAAGAGTCTTCTCCAACACCACAGTTCAAAAGCATCAATTCTTTGGTGCTCAGCTTTCTTTATAGTCCAACTCTCACATCCATACATGACTACTGGAAAAACCATAGCTTTGACTAGATGGACCTTTGTTGGCAAAGTAATGTCTCTGCTTTTATTATCTCTCTATTTGGATGAATCCATATGCTGGCCTGGACTAATGAGCAGCAAGATAATGGTATGCAATGAAGGAATAAAATAAAGTACCATTAAGTACTACTGAGGTGCCATTTTAAGAACCACAAAATAGGAACTAAATCTCAATTGCTTTCTCATTATTAAGTGTATTTGTATGTGTGTATATGTGCACATATATATGTATGTGTGCGGTGTTTTTGTTGTTGTTGTTGTTTGTTGTCACTGTTTTTCTCTTTTTAATATGCAGTTAATCTTAGTTTCTCCCCTATCATAGGATATGGTTACAAAACAAGCCTTCTCATTATCTGATGCTGTTGTGTTACACTGCTAGCTAGTAGTTATGACTTTGGCCTTTGCTTCTAGAATTCCTTGGAGGAATATTGCCTTGAGAATACTGTTCATAAGGATTCTAAATGTTTACATTGCTTTCCTGATTGACGAAGTCAGTGACACACAAAATTTGCCCAGATTTCTATAAGTCACACAGATGACAAAAGGCATTTAGACTGAAATTCTGATGCTACTCCCAGTCATGAAAGCTACTAGGCCCACTGGGAATTTTTTGCCAGCTTAGCTATGGCTTTTGCCATTTTTTATAGCCTTTTCCTTAAATTTAAGCCTAATGCACAGTGCCTCTTAGAGAACAGAGGTTGTAATAAATATGCCTTGGAATATGCATATTAACATGAAATGTGAAGGCTAGTGGGCACTTAAATGGTTTTAAATACGTTTATTTTTATTTAATGGAGCCTTAGAAGCTTTCTTAGAATTTTAGAGTCTATTCTGCAAATTGGGTGGTCTTTACGGAAAGTAAGTGGTGATTCTTGCTATATTTGTCTCTGTGATACTGTGATATTTGATGCCACATCGCCAGGATGTCCTGGGCAAGAAAACTAGTGTCTGCATCCTGAGTGAGCTGCACAGAAATTCTGATTTGCTGCACAGAAATTCCTCTTTCAATCCCTTACCTTTTATTAACATTTGCCCAATTGTTCTAGCTCCTTCCTCCTCTTGGTCTCCTTGCTTCCCCACTTATTACTCTCAATCTTCACCCCAATCTGGTTCCTACTCTGTGGTTCTCAGGTTGAGGCAAGGCGGGAATGAGGAATGGTTGCTAGAATGAAGGACTCCCAAGCAATAAATGCCATCATTCTATTATTTACTCTTGCAATTCTCCTTCATATTTTTCTAATTGTAGGGACCTCTTTGAAACTTGATATAGTAAGATAATGCTTGATGTGCATGTTTCCTCCAGTATTTGCTTATATTATGTTGCCATTTCCCCAGGTCATCAGCTAGTTGTTTCACATCATTGCTACAGGAGATAGAAAGACCCCAGGAAGCCCACTTTCCATGTCAGCACATGAGAAGAAAGCTAAAAGGCCATTCATGGTCTTTGAGTTTAGGCCTCGTCCTTTGAAGACCAGAATGGAGGGCAGGAGCAACACATTCAGGACACTAGTTGATATGAAACAGTGACCTACATTTCCCTGAGTTAGGAGGGAAATGAAAGAACTAGCAGATGCTAAGAGTAAATGGAAATAGTTTCCTGAGAAAGGGAGGCTTTTTCCCCTGCTGTGTGGATCAAGCCTCATGTTGAAATAGATGAGAGGCATGCCCCTGAGAAGCTTGCAGGATCTGCTATTAGGATAACCTGAGCTTTACTTCCTGGGTGGAATTCCAGGAGAGGTAACGAGATGACAGAAATAATAAGGCAGTATGGAGTATTGAGATGAAGGGGGTCTGAAAGAGCCTCGTTGACATCCTGTGCCAATGCAAAAAAAAAAAAACAAAAAAACAACAACAAAAAAAAACAACATTAATATAGTTCTGAAGGACCTGAACCAAAGAAATCCTTGAAGATGGAACTGAAAGCTGACTCATCATGAAAAACTGATGTGAAAATTCAATCAATGGCAGACATACAACAATGCTTGCAATGGGAAGTCCTTGTCTCATAGCACAGAAAATCCCACCACCATCATACAAACTCCTGCCTCTCCACAGGTCTACAAAATCTTTTAGGTATTAATATCTAGCCCATGGGGAAAAGTGGAGGAATATCAAGAACCAACTGAGTTTAATCCTACAGCTCATACTAGAAATTATGTGAGATTCTCAAAAAATAAATATTATTTGCTACCTATCTGAAGGGCTAGGTGCAATTCATAACAGATACATATATAAAAATATGTTATTTAAAATATAATATTCTGTAGAATGAACTGTCCTTTTTATTTAGATGATATGAAAAAAACAGAGAAAGAAAGAAACTAAATTGTTGGCTATCTTCCATAAATAATACAGTATGCTAGGTGTATCACAAATATTTAGCATTTTCAGAAAGTGAAAGTGAGGTCGCTCAGTCATGTGTGACTGTTTGTGACCCCATGGACTGTAGCCTATGAGGTTCCTCCATTCATGGAATTTTTCAGGTAAGAGTACTGGAGTGGGCTGCTGTTCCCTTCTCCAGGGGGTCTTCCTGACCCAGGGATTGAACCTGGGTCTCCAGCATTGCAAGCAGACAATTTTACTGCCTGAGGCACCAGGTAAGCTATCTGATAAATAATATCACACAGAAAACTAACTATGTAATAATATCACACAGAAAACTATGTGATAAATAATATTATCCCCAATCAAGGCTTGGGAGGGTCAAATCACTTATCAATGTCATTAAGAAACTATTGAGCTAAGATTCAGTGCTATGCTCATATATATATTCAGAGCCACTCAAGCCCTTTTTGAAATTTCCCACTTAACAAATGCAATTTAATTGAAATAACCATATAAAGAAAGGATAAAAAAAATACACACACACACACTAGATTTTTCTCCTGAATCAGGAGGAAAATAACCTAAATTTTCCACTTCACTTCAGCTTTAAATGTGAATATAGAAGATATCAACCCCAAAATTAAAAAATATATTTCTCCATTATCATACTAAGAAATCTATTAAACATATCATTAAATATTGCCTTTGAAAATTGATCATAAGTTTTTCATTTTAAATGTAAGAAGATAAAATAATGGCCAGAGGAGTTTAAGAAAAATAACATGAAACCAATTACAGAAATGATTCATAATATACATCTTGATTATTATGAAAGACTATTATGAGAAGCAAATACTGGACTTTGGCTTGTGAAAACAATTTAAAACACAAAGAGGGATGTAAATCTAGAATTTAATTATTTGGATTTTATACTGCTAATGATTTATAAATACTATAAATATAAAGGGCTTGCAAAAAGTTATCTAGCCATTGGCATAAAGAAGATGCACAGTTTCTCCAGAGCTGATAAATTCTACTTAACAATTAATAAAATAATGGAAAATAATGAAGACGCTGCAAATCTCAGAAATCACTGACACTTTGAGAATCTTATTTACCAGAATTAGTGCTAGATCTAATGGAAGTAAATTTGTTATTTACATAATCCAGAGGTGACAGATAACAACATGCAATTGTGAGTCAAGTAAGAAAAATTGTTACTTTAATCCAAAACATTCCAGAAATCAATCAACACAACAAATTATCAGTGTGATAATATATTCAACACATTTGACATTTACATTAATTGGAGGTAATGAAGAAAATATTTTTTGTTGTTTGTTGGATGAAGTTAAATGGGCTGGAAATGCGTATGAATAAAACATCATTATTACTCTCACTGTACACCTGTTCAAATTTCTACTGACAATTTGATATTTTTATTAGAGCCCACACGTAAAGACGACAAGCACAAATGACAATTTTTTACACTCACAGGATAAAAGTAAACAAGCAGTGTTTTGTGCCCAGCTCTCTTAAACCATGGCGCTATGAAAAGTGCTTAACTAGCCCCCGAACACTGCCACTTAGTCATGACTTCTGGTTTTATAAATTATTTACAGTTTGCTAGGTAAGAGGCTGGTGGAAAATGCCTTTCTTAGCCACTTGATTGACAGTATAATTATACTGTGTTTTTGTTTTAAGCACTGTTATGCAGAATCATAATGCCATAAAAAGTAAATAGGAATTTTATGAGCTTTTAACTTTGACAAGGTCATGCTGAAGCGTACCAAAGAGATGTCATGAAAAGCCATAGCCATTATTAGCTGTGTCCTGTGAGTGCCACTGCACCTCAGAGCTCCACTTGGGTTAAAACATGTATTGGCTACTGTCTACCTCAGCAGAGGAAGTGGGGGCAAGATGAAAACCACATGAGCAGTGGGCACATTGAGCCTCTGAAAGTTCCCTTTGCTTCTCTCCTGTGAAGCCTGGTTCACAAGTTCAGTTTTGCAGTCAAGAAAATGAGACACGAAGCAATGTGCATAGTTTTAGGTTTGGTTTTATTTTGGTCACTTTTCTCTTATCTCAGAAGCCTTACTCTCAATTCTTTTTTCTGTCTGCTTGCTTTT